GATACATTAACACTAGTTACACAGCCTGACCTCCTGCTCACTTTCAGAAGGCAGATTCCAATTTTGCTTGGGAGACAGGGCATCTAGCACTTGTTCACAAGTGTCATCAAAAGGGACTGGTCCACCTCCTGAAAATATTTTGTACTTTAGTTTTTTGTTGTGTTTTTGACACAACAACAAAAGGCAAAAGAATGAAATAATAGCACATTTGACAAAATTTGCATTAAATTCTAGAGATATTTCTTCATAACAACAGTTTAACCAACTGCAGAACTACAAGTAAATTTTGAGCTGCGACATCCAAAATGCCCATGTACAATGTACTGTATGTCTCACTGGAAAGCACACCTTTTAGTCTTTTGCTTGCTTGGTTTCAATATTTGAGCCATAAATTGGTAAAAGCTTGGAATTAAATACACAGAGCATGCATGCTCATTGATAAGCATGAGATGAAATCAGAAGTTTATATTATAAATAAGATCTGGTACAAAAGTGTTTAGCAGTTAACAGCATAATTGGAGGTAAAGAAAACTGAAATATAATTGAAAGACTTTGCTTACGTGTAACGATTTTCTTTTGATTATAAATGTGCACTTGCACTTTTAGCTTGTTCCGTTTTTTGTGCACGTCTCTCCATACTGGTCTGAGGACTGCCTGCAACCCTCAGAGTTTCAGCCGCCTTCACCCAACATTTCTTCTTTCTCGCCTCAACCTTTCGAGAAATGAAAACATAATTTAGCTGCACACAATGAGAACCACGTACAGCATTGCAATTTTTCCATAAATCTTTGACACTTTCAATATATTTTAACCACTATTAGTCACAGTTTTCTGGAGAGAGCTGAAGATCACATAGGAGTCACTGAAGATTCCTACTTAAAAGCATCTTCTACCAGTGGGCCCAACTAGTTCAGAGACTGCCATAGGTTATCCCGGCCAACTGTCTAACCAATTAACCAGTAATGTAACAGTAAATTTACCTTTTGGCCAGCTTTTCCAAAAAGTAGGTGTGAATGCTCCTTTACAAACCCAGCCAAAACACGCTTTTCTGTAGATGTGAAGTTTTTATTTCTTGGTTTTCCTCCACGTTCTTTTTTCTTTCCCTGAAATCAATCAGAAATAACCAAACTATTGCAGAGTTTTAGTTAAAATATAGTATAGTGAATAATTTCAAACTAGTGCAATCAGTCGATCAGCTAATTTCTTTTGTAGCTAAAGCAGAAAGTTACACCCCAGTGCAAAATGTTATGCCTAAAGAAGCTTTCAACTATTTTTATACTAATAGCTCTATAAAACATGTTTTAAAAAGTACACGGCTTTCCCCCCTTATAAATGCTGAATCATATTGTAATAATTGATTAGAAAAACCTCAAAATAGTTGAAATCTTTTGGCAGTATCAACCACAGATTATTCATAGCCCTAATGCAAGAAGTATAGTATAGTACTGAAAAAAGTAGATTTTTTTAAAAGCAATTCAAGAAATTAACCCTTGTCCCTTTCCCTGTGATGACTTGAATCAAAACGTGGACAAAGGGGGAGAACTACATGTCCAGAGGCCTACTTTAAAGTGAGGCCTATGCAAACCCAAAGAATTACACTGTATTTTATAGCTCCAAGAACAGTTATGATTAAATTTAATATTGGTAGGATGCACTGAAGTACTTTAATACTTGACCAATTGACTGGGGATCAACACCAGTTCAGGAAACATGCTTGACAATGGCATGCTTTATGACAACATTTTTAGCCTAGGCCATCGTCCTAATTCATTCAACATGGTCAACAACAAAAACAAATTTCTTTTGTTATCTTATGGCATCAACTACATGTACATTGAACTTGGACAAATAAAGTCTATCTCCCACACGTGGGTCTATAGAATTAACTTTAAGTGGGTATTGATATGAAACAATTACAATGTACATGTACCATGATCGCATTTTACGTGCAGCGGACAACACTCAGCAATTCGATGGGGCGCCAAACACCACTAACGGTCAATGTCACTCGCCAATTCACACTGATTTACTGCAGTGCAAATCAGCCTCTAAAACCCCATTTCATATACTTAAAGGAGCGGGCACCCTTGCATAAATGTAATTCTATGACAACAACATAAAACCCCTTATCTGTTACAAATTATCGAAAATTGTATGCAGTTTTACTCACCACTCGCACTGCAAAAACAAGATGGCCGACTTGGAAAAGTTTTGACTATTGCTCTCCATTATTAAGTCTTTATAATGCAGATCGATGGTGTTGACAGCCACAAAGTTGCTGTAGGTCGAAGTTTGCGCTTTAGGCTCTGCCAATAATATTGATTTCTTAATTATACAATTAATATTAATCTTTTCCCATATTCAATCAAACTTATAAGATTGATTTTATGAAACAGAATTTCACAATTAATTGAAGTGCAAGACAGGTTCAAACTTAAGGTTAATAAATCAGATTAATAGTTGGACTTTTTTAATGAAACACTCCCCCCCCTTTACATTTGCATCAGTGTCAATGTACATGTACCTTTAGTGTCGGCCAGACTTCAGAAACCTTGTACACGAACACGCTGGAGGCTCTTAACAATGTGTGAAGTATACCATTTTGTTTAATATTGTAATTTAATTGTACTTGGCACATTGTTGCAAAGTACATGTACCGTACATGTACAGGTAAGTTAAGGTTTGTGGTACGATATAAACCAGAATTGTTATATCACAAATGTTTGAACAATCCAAAGCAATTATTTTTTCATAAAAACAGAAATGCATACAATCATGCAAAAAAAAGTCAATGCCAAACTTTACACTCAAGTACAACTGTCTTGGGTTTTTTTTTCCAGCATGGTGTTCAAGTCTAGGAAGGTACATGTACATGGATAGTGTCGACTTTAAATTTGAAGGCAAATTTATTTTAGGAATTAATCTTCATTAAAACTTAGAATCAACTCACACGACGTGTGCAGGATGTTCACTTTTCACTAAATATTATCAGGCATGTGAAATATTATAAATCAAACAGAAACGACTGAAGGGCAAATTGGCATCATAAGAGAACCGAAATGACCTCTATTACAAAGAAATAAAGATAAAATGGGATTGTTTCAATGATGTTATTTGCATAGAATCACTGGCTGTGAATTGGACAGGCCAAGCATGATAGAATGACCAACAAGTTTAGAAATTCAAAATAAACAACCTAAGCATTCAGGGCAGTCTGCTCATCAATTGGTGAACTTTACCAAGGACAGGTGCTGACAGTCCAGCATGTAACATATCCATTCACATGTACCTTTCATGTGAACATGCTGTACTTCTATTATGTAGACAAACCCTTGCATGCTTGTCTGGGCGACAATTGTCATGTGACAGCATATGATTCAGGTAAACAGACATTTTCTTTCCTGGAACACTTCCAAATTGTGAAGAAGGAATAACGATTAACGTTTTTTCCTTGGTTAATTTCATCGACCTGGCCTAGGTCCAAGACTGTGAGGGAAACCAACAATACATTATTTGTCTGACAGACATTTTTGGAAATTACACTGGAAGTGGCTGGGCTGCACAGCTCAGATTCCATAAACAAACTGTAACTCAAGGTCTTGGAGATTTCAAGACCAGGAGCAATTGAGTTTTGTGACTGCTCACAAGTTTGTTTTGGAAATAATTTGTTTCTGTCATCTCAAATTCTGTGAGAGCACAGTAAAATGATGCATGAATTTATTGCAATACCATAATGTCATGACTATTGACTATTAAAGCATAACTTGATCAAGGTGAGACGATGAGTAACAAATTTAGTCTAAGAATTGTACTTGACAGTTTATATTATTTTACATCCATGTACATGTACACGAATCTGCTCTTCCCTGTTTCAAAAAAACTGGATGTGTGAAATGCTGTAAACTGCATGTATAGATACGTGTACACTGATCACATGAATGTGATGCACTTACATGTATATATTTCAAAACATTTGTGTACATAAACCTTTATGTACAGGCCTGTGCCGGGTACCCGCCCGTCGATATCAAAACCTGGTTCCATTTTTTCAGGCTGGGTACTAGTAAATAACTTTAAAAACAAAATGTAAATAAATTAGGAACCAAAATCCATGCATAAAGTATCTGTGAAATTTAATACTGAAGGGCAGACTTGTTGAACATATTTGACTGGAATTGGAAAAAGTTTTATGACTTCAATCTTACTGAATAAATTTCGCAATCCGGAACTAGTGAATGACTGTACCAAACTTGTGAACAAGAGGCCGAAGGAATTTTGTCTTCTGAGGTGGCCACGCTGATGATGTACACTTGCACGACTGTATGTAACTTACAAACCCTGTCGGCCTAAAATGACTTTTGTGTTGAAGTGGTAGTGCTTACTGTTTGAGTTAAGAATATTTTGGTTAAATAAAAAAATATGAATGAAAATTAGTTTATGTCGGGATTGACGACGGAGCGAGAGTGGACTGGGTAATACAGCAGCGGTACTGAGACTCCCCATGTGCAGTACGTAGTGATCACGCACAAATTGTGCAGTTATTCAGCCTCTTATAATTAGATGGTAACCAAAGCACTGAATGTGCTACATTAATCTAAAGAGTAAGAGAACCAGTTTAGTTTTTGATACCAAGAAATATACCATTGTCATTCTCACTTTCAGTTTCAAAATTACCAATAAATTAAAGCAATATAAATAAATTTCCTCAGCAGTTAAGCTGAATTGTGGCTGACGAATCAAACAGAAAAGCAGGAAGGATGTTTTCTGTCCGAGCAAAAGTGTTGACAGGTCATAATACAGTTGGCCAGTCAGTCACCTGTCGAAGTACTTATACAGTAACATTTGAACAACTCCAACCTCAGGGGAATGGAATTCTCCTAAAAACTTCTTTTCTACTGAAATAAACCACTTTATCATAGTACCGTCATGTGGCAAAACTTTGGTATCACTTAGTCTTGTTTACAATGTGAAGTGCTGCACACATATGTACAGTGTTGTCCTGCTTTTTCACTTGGGTTTCCCTTTGTACAGTGTTCTCTTTTACAGGTACCGGGGTACCTGATGTTGACAAAAAACAGGTACCTGAATCCAAAAATACCCCAAAATGTAGACCTCTTTTTATGTACATGTACTTTGCTCTGGGTATTTTTGATCTTGGTAGACCGGTACATGTATGCCCCACTGACCTTATCAAAATGACTGATACAACAGTGTTCTATGTGTTTGAATATTCTGAAAGAAGTACACTGTACAAGTACATGTAAAGAATTCATCAAGTCAACAAACTTTTGAGATTATAATGCCCTTTAATCTCTGAGTCAAGTAGAGTTGAGACTATTAGACTGAGTTGAAAAATGCCAAAAAAAAGTTACTTGCTCTTTACTGAAAAAATTATCCAACTTTCAATGAGAAAACCAATATTAAGTAGTTGAGAATTTTACCAGCCAAACAAGGTCTCAATATTTTTTTGCAAAGGAAGAAATTTCAAATATAAATAAGATAATCTAATGCAAAGATGAAATGATGCAGTTGTCTGGCAAAAAGGTCTGTGGAGAGAACAGTATGGTTTGAGGTTGGAAGGTCGATATTACATGTTACTCCCCAAGAGACTGAAAGTTGAAGCCCAGGGAAATCAGGGAATTAGTTTGTCAACTTCTCATAGCGAGGAAAAATAATATTGACTTTTCAACCAAAATAAGACATGGTTTAGTACATGAATTTGTTTTACTCTGCATACGTGGACGCCCTCCAGTTCTTAGTTAAACCTCTGAGAAATACAACTCATTTCTTTGTGGTAAATATGTTGTCATCTTACATGTGTTTGTGGTAACACGTGTGTTCACGCGTGTGTGTCACACCCACGCGACAGTTCCTCCATCGCCTTGTAAGGTGCAAGCCCAGATGAACAAAGATGTACAAAGGTACCAATATGGTATATGTTGTTCATCTGGGCACGTGTATTTACTTTGTGCTTGAAAGACCACATGCCTGCTTGGTAAACGGCAAATATAGCGGATGGCGTGTGATGGTGAACGGTCCAATGAGAATTGGGTTCTCAGTAATGAATATGTATGAGATGGGGTACATGCATATTTAATGGGAAAAGATGTGTGGCATCCCATGTTTATAACAAACTTTTCTTAAGCAGTCCAAAAAAAACCGTGGGTGGGTTGTTTCATGTGTGGGGCAAAAACTTGTCCCCTTAATGAATTAGTCCTCGTTCAACATGTGTGCATGTTGTAAGTCCCCACAACTAACTAAAGAGCCAGTATGCGTGTGCAATCAGCTTTTATGGGAGGACTGTAAATATAAGACTTTATCGTCAAAGGAGAGTACAATATATACCACAGGTCTTCTTTGTTTGGGAGGATTTAAAAAGATGATATCAGGGAAATCCCTGGGAGTCAGTGTTATTTTTCTTCAGCCTTGATATGGTATTTCATTTTTTGACTTTACAAACAATACATTACCTCACAAATCCACACACATCTTGAGAACAATCATTGGCAGGAAAGCTGGTGACATTTACATGTAATACGAGTACACTAATGTTCTTTGTTTTAATGCTCACCTTGTGCATGACACGTTTTTGCTCCTTCGACCGAAAGACAGAGGCAGACTGTGGTGCGCCGGGAATTACGAGCAGCATGCTGTAGTCTTCCTCATCCCAAGTGCGATCTGCTGGACGGCGGTCTCGAGACATCGTCCCAGCAGACAGCCAGATAGCAAACAGCATTGAGTAGAACATGAGTGCCATGCCTGCAAAGAACCCCATCATGTAACGGGACAAGGGAAACTGGAAATAAACAAACAGACAGAGGGAGAGGATGGCCAGAAAGAAGATTGGGGGAGAATCTGGTGGCTTCTGGGGTTCCTCCTTGACTGCTAAGTCTCCCTTCTCCTTCTGGATCTGAGGAATCACTTCGGCTACTTCTTCTTTGGTACCTGGGGTGCTGGGGCTTTTATTCTGGAGTTCATTCTCTGTGATGACATCCTGTTTGCCTCCGTCGGGGCTGTCCAGCGTGGATCTCGAACTCTGTGTTGACACTGATGCTTCTTTTTCTTCCTCCTCATCGTCATCTTTGCGAAGAAGTCCTGACAGACTGACGCTCACATTCTTAGCGGGTATCTTTCGGTGTCTGACGTGAGGGCTACCTGATGACAGAGGTCTTGGGATGATGGCTTCGTCCGGTAGTTCTGATGGGGCTGGGACAGTATAGTAACAGGGATCAATCTCCAAAGTGTCTCTTTCAGGCTCTGGTCTGTCATTGTAGGTGTCACAGTCCAGGCTCCGAGCCCGTTTGTGGGTTGCTAGCCCAATCCGGTTGACGCTGGGCTTATTTTGTTTCTTCTTCCCAAGTTCAGCCTCTTCCTCTAAAGCTTCCTTCTCGAGTTGCTCTTCCATTACTTTATCCAAAAAGGTCAGAGGATCACTTATGGCCTCTTCACTATCAGCTGGTAAAACGGATGCCTCCTCATCTTCTGTCAGCACAGCATTTGGGACCTTCATCAATCCAGTGATGGTAGTTGGTTTGTCTGGCTTTCTTACAGCTGAGTCATTGGCCATCATCGCTTTCTTCTCTGCTTCGTTAGACATTGGTGATGCGGGCTGGGCTTTCAGAGCCTCCTCTTTAACCTTAGTCACTGGCTTGTTCACAGGGGGCACATCCTCTCTGCGTTTGCCATAATTGACATCCATGGACTGTAGGATAGACTCCTTCAGTTCCTCTTGCCTGCTTGGCTTAGTCTCTGTCTTGGCTGGATTTGAGACTCCCTCCAACGAAGTGGATTTGGCAAGTGGGGCTGAACTCCCTTTGGTGGTTATGAAACTGATGCCCTTGCTGCTGTCATCATCGAGGTCGTCATCATCGTCACTGGCCAACAAAGGGTTGTACCTCATCGAAATGGTCGTGGATGGTAGAGTGCGCTTTTTGGTTGCTTGGGTGGGGGCTGGCTTTTTGGCTGGCAGGTTTGGGGCTGGGGGCCGGGGAGGTTTTGGCTTCTTGTCAGACATTTTGATGATTTTTAAGTGTCCTTCCTGCCAAAGAAAAAATACAAATCTGTGTAAATTTTAACAAATAAACAAAGACCAAGACAGTGTCAGAACACAAAACAAGTTTCTGTTTGTTCAATTTCTAAATTTCAATGGAGTTTTCTAATGAATCATTTGAGAGATTTTTCTATTCTTAAAATATGACCAATACAAGCATACATGTACGCCTGTACATGAAGGCATAAAATATATATTTTTATATGTACGTGAACATGTACGTGTACTTAACACTTCACTAGTGAAGTCTGACTCCAAACTTGACCCAGCCTTCATAATATGAGCCTTGTAGGTTAGTCTCATGTCAAAGTTCTGAACTAAAAGTTCTCAATGTTCTTCTCATGTTTTGTTCATTCCTGAAGTTATGGCTTTGGATTTGAAAGTGTCCTATGGAGGTGCACTTTCAAAAAATCAACAAAAAGCCTCTGCTCTTCTGCTTTTAAATTTTGGCTTTTCGCTAAGTCCAGAAGCACTTCTTTTTGTCAAAAAACTGGGAGGGGGTTCCACATACTGCTGAAAAGCCCTTCTTTTTGTCCAACATTTTTTCCGTCTTGCTTTCCCCACAAAACCCATTCACTTTGTCCAAGTGTTTCTCACCTGGTCTTCTGTTTGAAAATAAACTTCTATTCCAATAAAACTGAACTCAGGAAAAACCCTAAAAAGACTCGAACATGAGCACTGACTTATGAGGTATGAAATTGATAATGTGTGGAAAAGGATGCTGGAGGAGGCTTGACTTGGTAGTTACTGAAGCGTTAAGTGGTGGATGCTGGAGGAGGCTTGACTTGGTAGTTACTGAAGCGTTAAGTGGTGG